ATTTTCCTCTAACTCAATTGCACCTCCCAACATCACGTCTGAGCTGGGAAAATAGGAGAGGAGCCAATTGTGTTTGAAGATCCAACATTTTGGGCTTTTTGGTAACCAGAAGCCCTGAGATTAAGAGAAGCAGCAGGATACAGGACTACCTCTTACCAATATGAAAACAGCAAACTCTTCATGAATCCCTAATTTCATAGCTGTTCAAGCGAATATTTGCCATATGCAGATGTTTAAGAGTGGTGTAACTGTATGTTATACAGTGGTTTGTATAAACATATAAACATCACTTAACCCAGGGGCAGTACCCATAAGGGTACTGAGCTGAGTGTGTCTAACAGTAGGGAAATAAAACCAGGGCTGGCTCATGCTTTTCAAGCCATATGGCTACTCAAGCAGTTCTTCAGGCTAAATTATTTTTTTTCCTTTGTAAATACACTAGTGACAGTTTAGGTCATGAATCTACCTTGATCCCACTCCTACATGCTCTAACCACAAAGAGACTGGTAATTTTTTTTTAATTTTATTTTTTCACCCTTTTTCCCCCCTTTTGAAAAACCTGTCAGAGAGATTCACTTCTACATAATGCATTTCTAACTGGCATGCAGGTGGAAAAGGGCCTTTGACATCAGCCTGTGCCTTCTGGAGTACTGAACTGGTGTTGCAAATTGCTCTCCTCTTCAGCAAAGTGAGACAATCTCTGTGTAAGTGTGCAATCCCTTTGTGTATATGCATGTGGAAGCACATACCCCTAAGTTAATATTATCATTTGCACTACTTCATAAAAATTTTGTCATCCCTACCAAGTCCTCATTATATCTTTACCAATAATATAAATATCAAATCCATTTTCTCTCCATATACTGAGCTGCTCTCCCTCAAAGCACAGGTTCTCAGTCACTTTGGGGTAGTGTATAGCTTTCACTGGAACCACATCACTTCCATTCGTCCAAACATGTCCCATAGTCCAGAGAACACCTTTAGAGAGGCAGAAACACAACAGGCTTTTCCCAGGTTGTTCATATTTGCAGCAGAGAAGAAAGACATCTCAGATGCCTTTCAGACACATCACAGGGCAGATTTGGGGGAAGAAGCACTCTAGGCACATAGGCACTGGCTGCTGAACTAAAGCTTTGCTGCCACCAGGAGGGAGAGTGAGTAGAACAGTGGGTGACACCATCCTATTTCAGCATAACCTTTTGATTATTTGCGGTTGGCAAAGTACTGGAAGACCCTCAAGGAATGCACCATGGAGATGTTGCCTTTAGAGCTGCATGGAGCTAATGCACAGACTTATTCCGACCTGCAGCTGGCTCCCCACATTTCTTTTTTCCTTGATTTTCTGCACCCCTGTCATAAGTCGATCTCGTTTTATACTCTGCTCAGGACCAATTTTGTCGCCAGGTGCTGCTCTGTGAGAACATTCCCTTTTCAGATCCCATGGGCCCTGCACTACCTCTCACACCTGCTCTGCTCTCCCAGAGGAGACTTTACCATCATTTTCCAGCAGCATAACTTACTCCCTGACCTCCAGAAAAATTTCCACTGCCAAACCTACAGCAACAGAAGATGTATCGCCTACTGTGAGCCAGGAACCTCTCCAGAGAGTTAAAACGTCAAATATAAATTGTTAGCTGGTTTGCCAAATTCCAGTGATACTAAATAAGCTTATCCTTCAGTGGTTTATCTTATGTGAGATAAGGTACATGCAGTAAAAAATTGCCCCTACGGAAAGTCTGGTGACCTCTTGTTGATAAGAAGACTTAATTAAAAAATATTTTCTCCTGGATTCCTAACGCAACTGAGATGGTTAAAGAAGTTTTACAGCTATGTCCACACGCTGCCTGCAAGCTCTAAAGGCTGAGTCATCACTAAAATACAGTTGTCTTGTGACATTGATGTGCTCCACATTGTGCCTGTCTCCAGAAAACCAATCAGCTGAGTCTGAATAGCGCCTGCTCCGCGAGGAGCTCACCTCCCTGCTCACTGGGGTCAAAAACTGCCCCAGAGTAGCTGCAGGAATGGAGGAAAATCAAGAAGGTCTGCAACAAAAACCAGAAACCTAATGCAAACTTACTTTTAAAGAGAGATTAGAGCAGTTATTACTTCCTCTCCTCCTTCTCTACTGAACTGCTTGAAATTCTATCCTTGAAGAAAAGCCCCATAGAAGTTATTAGTCATGAATTATCTCTCCATATAGCTTAAGTTACATCTGCAAGATTGCTCTCACGGGGCTATTTCCTCCTGCAGCACATAGCCCCCAGAGGACATGGGCACAGAATGCTTTTACTTTTTATCAGAACCCCACAGCTTTCCACATGGGCTCTGTTTGTTCCACAAAAAAGAAAAAAAAAGAAAAAAAAAAGTCGAAGTTAAAAATATTTCACAAGGAAAACTGAGCTAAAATTGATGTTAAAAGGATGGGTCTGAAGCAATCCTACCTTTCCTTGGCCAGCCTTTGTTATTCTAGGGATGTCAAACAACTGCCCTGTGTAGTACTGCACCCCGCTGAACAGAATGACAGCGATAGAGTCCCCTTCCTTCTCAATTACAGCCAGGATATCTTCAATCCTCAAGGTCTCCTCCCCCTAAAACAAAGTTAAAGCACACATTTTACATCAACTCTGCCAGTAATGAAACTGTCATTTCTTATTTCATAATCTACATTTTACCATGAGCTGTGCTGCTTGCATAAGGAGATCAAGAGCAAATCCTCAGCACGGCAATGATATACAAAGGTAGTGCTAGGAAGTAGTCTATGAGTTAGTTCCCTCAAAAAAATAAATCATTAGCAAACTTATCTTGAAGGTGCCAGTTATGAAAAGTTTATTCACTTCATAGTCTAACATGTTTCATACCTTTAAATATTTCAGACAGTTTTAATTTACAGTAAAAAAATAAAATCCTGGTGCAAACAGCATATATAATGATTTTTATGTCACAGCTGAAATTTGTGAGGCTTGAAAGTTGTCTGTCAGTATCACTCTGTACTTTTCTGATAAACTTCATATCCCACAGGAAGCTATTATAAACCTGTCATATTTATATTTCAAAAACAATAAATCTCACATCATCAAAAGTACAAAAATCCCCAAACCTGGGGTGATTAAATGTAGAGGAATTTCAACCAAAAAAAAAAACCCTCCCCACAAACCACCTCATTCTTGATTCTTTATAGGAAAATTACTGCCCCATCCTCCTCCTGTCTTCCTAGCAAGGGATCATGTAAAACATACCACCACCTAGGGATCAATTAGGCAGTGAAACCTAGAATTAAATTAGACTTGTTACTGAAAAGAGCTTGGGCAAGATTGTTGAATTGCAAGTAACTGTTATTATCTCAACAATCTTTGCAAATCCATCAAGCGTTCAGGAGTGGGCTCTTTACTCACAAGATGACTCAGATTTCAGAAGCAAAAGGTCACCATCAGTTTATAGTTAGGTGGCAAAGTTCTTAATGCTGCAGAAGTGAAGCAAGACAGACTTTCAAATTAATCTGAATTGCAGATTACTCAAGGCAGACCTTTCCCTTAGTCTGTGCTGATACACAGGCTGCTGTTCACGTCATGGCAATCTTTTTCCTTAGGACATTGGAAGGACATTGGTGTCTCTCAATGACCTACTCTGTTTTGTAGTTCTCTCAGGATGCTGTCAGGTTTTGCAAATGGGAAAGACAAAGAAAAAGATTTTGTTTTTGCTATAAGGCAAATGCACCAGTTGAACCAGGCAGTTATGAAATTAGTTCCAAAACCAAAACACATACACAGAAACAGAATACACAATTCATCAGTTTTACCTAAAAGTATTAGTAGAAATAGATTAGAACTTCTGCAGGCAGACACTGGAGTATTTGAGAATATATGACTGCTCTCCTCTGAAATATGCTCTTGCCCTTAGCAATAGCAAGCAGAAGTGACATATTTCTCACTGACCTCCCGTGGCTGCATCATGAGCATGCTTTTCTCCACATCAAGTCCGTGAAGTCGAAGCTGGGACTCAACAGCATACTGGAAGAGATTTCCATGCAGAGCATGTTAGAGTGATTACACAACAGAACAAATAGAAAACCAGCCAAACACATCAGAACTTCAGAAAAAGGATTCTGTCTGTCACTGAAATTAATGCTTGAAAGTCTAATCCAACTCCATTGAAAACTTCATAGATTTCCTTTAGTTTAAGAAGGATCAGAATTCAATTCACCTCATCAGGCAGCAAGGATAAAGGCAAAACCTAAATCTTACAGGGCACATTCACAGAGTGGAATGAGGGTGCAAATGTGGTGGAAAAAATGTGCTTTGCTACATGCCAGCAAACAAAGCCTGCAGGCATGACCACCATGGAGAAGACTGAACTTTGCCTTACCAAGGGCACTGGGTACCAACCTTTGCCTAGTGGCACACGATAGATCCCAGGCTGTCACATATGCACTGCTGTCAATGCAAATAGTGTGCCCAGCATATATATGTTGTCCCATATCTTTAATCTGCTGCATAGCTGGGAAGAAATGGGAGAGCTCTCAACTTTCAGGCCATTTTAGAAATCCTGCTCTCTGATTTGTCAATAATGGTTCTGGAGATAGCATAAAAATCATTGACTAGAACTGTAAAATAATTTAATTATATGACAGAAACTGAACTTATAGCGATTGTAGAAGTTATTACTCAAGTACCATAGAAATTTAAGAAGATGGAGTCCAAATGTGTGCCTGGAACAAACATGGGATTAGTATGAACATTACTTAGAATAAGGGCAACTTGAGGTTTATACACATCTGTGCCACCATCTTCATTACAAATAAAACTGTTAGTAGCTTGAGTCATTTTTATCACACCTTAGAGATCAAATTATCAATTTCCCTGAGTTTACAGAGTTGATGATGAAGTAGCAGTGGGCCACAAACCCAAAGATTAATTTGTTCTAAGCTGTGATGCACGGGCTATTGTCTCCTATTTTATAGCAGACAAATTACATTTGAACTAGTAATCTAAAGTGCTAAGAACAAACATTTCCATCTCCGTCTGGGGATATATAAGTGTTAATGTTGTGAGTTTGTATTGATTTGGTTTCATAAAGTAAAACAGCAACAAGAATTAATAAAACATTTACAACTTCGCTTGATTTAGGCCAGTAGTTTGCTCAATGTCTTTAAAAAGACTAATAAATCAATGTACCCGTTCAATCTTTTCCTCTTGTAACATTTTTTATTTGAACAAAAGAAATAAAGCTACAATCTGTAAAATATGCTGAGCTCAAAAGCTTCTGACAGATTTTTTTTATTGTAACATTACTTGGACAAGATGAGCTAATAAATATTCAAATCAGACTACTGATATTCTTTGGAAAAATATGATTAATAATACAAATATGGTGAAATATTAATTTCTTACATGGTCAGAAGGAAAGGCTCTGGCTTCTAGAAGAATTTTATAACGTCTCGGAGTAGGCTTAAAGAAAGATAGCTGTTAAGGACAAGAAAAAAAAACTGTTGAAATATATCTAAGCAGAGATGAGAGAGATGCTCCCAGCATATAACTTAATAAAGACTGTTTTACTTTCATGCAGACTACAGAGAACTCCCCAGAAATTACAAATATTTCTTTGCCTATATAACATTTATCAAAGTAGGAAAGCATTATAATCCTGCACTTCATCTATCCATAGCAAAGGCCACAAAAATCCAGCAGCGGAAACTTGCACGTACAGAAATTGATGGCAAAGCTTTGACTGTGGCTGGGGAAGCTGGGACTTCACCTGGCTCCAGCCCACAAACAAAAAACAGCAGCTGAAGAGTAGCAAAGAGTGGAAAGGAAATGGATTTCCATTCCTGCCCTAAAACATTAGTTATTAAATCTTCCCTTCCTCAAAAAAAAAAAAAAAAAAAAAGCGCCTGACTAAAAGACTAAGCCTTCTGCAAAGACTTCATCTCAGCAGTTTTAGGTGAATGAGAAGGCTCCAGGAAGACTGTATTGCAGCATTTCAATACCTAAAGGGGGCCTATAAGAAAGAGGAGGACAGAGGTTTTTAACAGGGCCTGTTGAGACAGGACAAGGAGTAATGGTTTTAAACCATTTAGTCTAGAGAAAGAAAAAAATTTTTACACTGAGGGTGGTGAAACACTGGGATATATTTCCAGGATAGGTAGTAGATGCCTCATCCCTGGAAACGGTCCAGGTCAGACTGGACAGGGCTCTGAGCAACCTGATCTAGCTGAAGATGTCTCTGCTCAGTGCAGGGGGGTTGGACTAGATGACCTTTAAAGGTCCCATCCAACCCAAACCATTCCATGAAAGCTCTTTCCTTCTGAGCTCCTCACATAAAGGCACGTTAGGCTTGCCACCATGCTGAGAGGACTAGGAGAAGACTTACAAGCCCTCCTCTTTGTGCCAGCAGTGGTTACACAGAGCTCAGGGCTGTGTATTCACACATTCTGGCATGAGTGTGGCTGCATTGTACCACTGAGCTTCTGTTTATCCCCATCCTGCTCTGCTTCAGGTTTCTTAGTTTAACAAAAGTCAGAAACATGTTACAGAGGAGCAGATCCAAGTAATAAATCTTGTGTGAAACACATAATGAATCTTCACATCTTCATTCAGTTGAAAGAAAACTTTGGAAATACTAAAGAACCAGAAACAGGCCGCGTGTAACCACAGAGAGACCAGCACATAAGGAAACAACTTTTATGGATGCTATGTCACAAAAATTAAAATCAGATGCTTTACCACATTTTAAGTGTATATAAACCAGCATAAATCAAAATACAACCTCTTGTATGCAACTGCATTTTAGGTTTGACTGAAATAACGGCTTTCTCTTGCTCAGAGTTGAGCTCTTATTTCTTAAACTTAGAAATTGTGTGAAATTGAAATTTGAGAAGTTACTTTCAAACATTTCTTAAGTAGTAAGGTCTCCTCTACGAGGACTGACATGTAGTGCATGAAGAACTTCTCAAACTTCACCTACAGCATCCTTGAAAGAATTTCTCTGTCCAGCTTTTCTGCTTAAGCGGAGCCAGACCTTGGACAAGCTGAAACATCATTCAAGATACAAGTCCCAAGGTTTAAGAAAAGTTAGGCTATGATCCAGTGCTGTCTTTGTGAGGTCCTCAGAAAACACTTCGCTTACATTCACAAAGAAAGGTAAAAAGATATTTGCTGACACAACACCAAATAAATATAACGACATACCATCTGGAGGTGCAAGTTAACAGTTAGCCCATTCATTAAGGCTACTTCATGTCTTTGGGCCCCTGAAATAAAAATAATTAAAAAAAAAAAAAAATGATCAGGGTTTTTTTTTTCTTTTTATATTTTCAGAGAAATCTCACGCAGTGTTGAGAAAACAAAAGTATGTTTCCAGTCAATGTCTCTCTAAAGACTGGAAAATAAACAAACGTTTGAAGTGTCATCAAAGTGACAAAGTGAAGCAAAAAGATTTCTTGTCTTACTCACTACACCACACTGGCAGGAAAATATTTATTCTTTCAGGTCAGCCACAGAAAACAAAAAAAAAAATCAATGAAGTATTTCCATTTCCTGGCAAACCACTGGTGGATTTATTATCATTAATATCTCAGACTGAAATCAGGTCAGAAACTATACATAAAGCAACACTTGTAGGCTTATTTTGTCATCAGTTTATACGTAAAGCAAGTCAGAAAACACACTGAGTCAATCATCTGTTGTAAGTGGTTACTGTAATGTCAAACAATCTCATCCTAATAAAAAAAAAAAGGCAAAATTGGCCTACTGAATATAGCAGATCATTATTAATGTAGCAACTTCACAAGAAGCAGTCAGACCCACAGAGCTCCTAGAACAGATGCCTTTTGGCTATGGCAAACCACAGGCAGAGCTAATGGAGAAACAACTAATTGTTATTACAAAGTGTTTAGTAACATTCTCAAATCCTTATCAACCCCTGATGAAAGGATTTAGGCAGGACAAGGGACTTGTGCATTGGGCAGGGCACCGCTGAGATATGGAGAAAATCAATTCCTATTTCTCTCTGTTTTGCCTGATGTCTGTTGTGGAAAAGCAGTAATTCACCCTTGACACAAATCACTGCTTTAAGAGTCTTCTTCAGCTGGAAGACAAGCTTATGTGCCTTGTCCAAGCCATCACCTCAGAGGCTGAGTTCACCAAAGGTGAAAAAGGTTGGAGACAGGGAGGGGTGAAGACAAGCATAAGCAGGCAAGAAAGGCAACAGCCACCCTTGAGATCAATAAAGAGGAAAGGAAAACATGATGTTGGGGTAAAAAGGTTAAGGGGAGCCACAAGAAACACAGAGGTGAATCCTGGGTTTCACCTGGCCCTGCCTTGGAGGACACCTGAGGTTCCAACCAACCCAGGAAAAAGGCAGCAAGAGCTCTGAGACATTTCCACCATATCCCACAAAGTTTAGGGTCATGCAGTTATTACTTTGCCAGCCTAGGAAAAATACATAACAATGGGCTGAACTCAATACAAGCAAATAGAGACAAAAAAAAACCCACGGAAATCTCTATTTAAGAAGGGTTTATTCTTAAATCCTTGCCAGTCAGGCCTCAACTTCTGCCACCACGGGACAAGCCAAGAACCATTTCAGTTAAGGGCCTTTCTTCGTGTTGCTGAAGTCTCCAAGTACTGGACAGAAAGATTTGTCAATAGTTGTCAGTAACTCTGAAGAACCTGTCCAGGGGATGAGCCAGGAGGAAAAGGAGATATAGTGAATAAGTTCCCTCTTTCAGACACCAAGAACATTATGAAGTTTGTGAGGAGAAATATAAGTAGACTTGGTTTTTCATAGGGAAAAATAAGCTCTTTTCCTCACTTAAATTCCTCTCCTTTGCTTTCTTTTCTTCCCTCTGAGAGCACTGCATCTGCAGGCTCCTTTTGCTGCTGGAAGAGGTCACCTTGTGGCTGTTCTATTGCAGATACAGAAGACAGCTAGAGAGAGTGATTGCAGCTCAAAACTGTATTATTTGCAGTCTTAATATTTCTATGGAACTCTTGAGGCTGAAAAAAGAGATGGAATCAAGAAATGGTATTGTTGTTATTTCTCCTTCTGCTCCTTCCATGAAATCTGTGGCTTTCACAGCAAATTCTGCACGAGCAATACTCTGCCTGCTGTACCATTTCCATATGAAACAAATGGTTAATCTGTAGCTCACTTTTAGCTGCATGCTAGCATCCCAAATTAAATCTGACACTACATTTGTCATGTAACTCTTGGTCTTCCGTAAATTATATATTTATTAAAAGCTTTCCATTATTGAATTTCATGCCCACAAAACAAACCTCATCCGTGTCATTGGAAAACTGTTATCCTTTATAACCCTCACTGCATTTCAGGAAAGAACTTTCCTATGATCCAATTAACCTATTACAGTATTCAAAGACCCGGCACACAGGAGATAAAATTATGTTTGCTTGCTTTATTTCCTAACTTTATACCATATCTCCAAAACAGGCTAAAACCTGTATGTTCTGCTTGATAAATCTCCTCTTTAATAAAGGGAAGCAGCATTTGCAAAGTACAACTTCAGAGACAATTATGATTGTGTTAGGCAGACGCTGCCATCCTTCTCCTCTCTGACTGCTCTGGGAGCCTGATCCTCACCAGAGTAAGTAAAAAACGCTTTGTAAAATGATCAAAACAAGGCTAACGGCCCCAATTCTGAGAACAGTTTGGTTACTTCAAATAATCCTTATCATTCAAAGTCACTCCAAATCTGCTGAGCGTTCAGTCTTCCCTCAACAGAGACCTGCCTGAGCACACGGTGTGGCAGCAGCCACACAGTTAATCTTGTTCCATCAGAAGGTGATGCTGCCAAGGTTGGAATGTTTGGATAGATGCTGGTAGGAGAAGCTGAGATTACCAGAGCTGCCTTTACGCCACTCAGCGTGAGCGTAGGGAAGCAGCTCTGGCCTCCATTGACCTTCACTCCACACCTCACCATCTATTTACTCCTGTAACTTTCATTGAACAAGAAAATGTGACTGCCTTTAATAAGCAAGGTGTTAGAGAACTGTATACCTTTAAAAGGAGAAAGGTATTTTGCAGTCTTTAGTCCATTCCTGAATAAATCTCAGTAAAAAGTCTTCTACTTACTAATACTTATAGTGAGAAATGACAATTCCTCCTCCATAACATATTAAAATAATGAATAAAAAACAGGGTAAAAGTCTGTTTATGTTCTTCCATTAAATTCACTACAAAAAGAAATTCAGTATTCACTCAGCTCAGACACACTTGGTATTGCACCTTCCTGGAAAACAGTACTTAACCATAAATAACACAGTGGAAGAGAGTATTTTAACATAACATTCTTCCTGAATTTCTATATTCTCTTACCTTTTTCACTATTACAATTGTACAAATCAGAATTGATTATGATGCATCCATTGTTTGGGAAATAATAATTCGTTTAGCATTCTAAGAAGTGGTATTCTAAGAAGTAGATCCTGAAAAAAGCTACAAGGATACTATAGAAATAAAACCCTTCTGGCACATGAATCTATGGTCCAGTTTTGAGCACAAACCACATTTTATAGTTCAGTTAAACAAAGCCCCAAAAAATCCATAGAACAAAATACAAACTAATAAAGTTGATACGCCCTTTTCTCCTGAAGAAAATAACGGGATGATGAAACCCTTTCCCAAAGAATTTTAAAAACAAAAGTAGCTTCATGGTAGGGTGACCTCAGTCATTATCTTTTTTTTTTTTTTTTTAAATAGAAAACTTAAAAATATGTGTTTAAAGTTGTAATAAGTTCAGTGTAATCAGTGATAGAAAACTCAGTGTCATACAGAGTTTGGAAAACAGAAATAGAGACTGATAAGAAGTTAGATGAAGTTTAGGCAAAGCTCTGATTTCCCTCTCCTTGCATCCAGAATACTTTTAGTTAAACATATATTCTAATACACACAGAGCTGGCAGCCTCCACGAGACAGATGGCTAAGGCAAAAAATGTCCCAGTCTGACTCTGCTTCCTGCAGTGACTCCTAACCTAAAGCTGGGACCAAACTGACCCTGATACCAGCACTGGGCAGGAGGTCAGTGCTCAGCCTACCCCAGCACCCCGTGGGGAGGTCACAGGGGCCCACATTTGGAAAACAAAGCATCAGCAAACATCCACAGGAATTGATGCAGAGGAGGATGGTAATTTAGGTAGTGCGAGCTGCTCTTTGGGGGATCCTTGCTCTCCCTTGGTTATGTGAAGAGCATCAATGTTCTACCTTGTTACTTTACCAATTTAAGTGTCTGAAAGTAGGCAGCATGACTACTCTCCCACTCTCATAAGAAACTCTCCACCCTCCAATTAAGTAAGTTCAGGGTTTCCAATTTAAAAGCCCTCAATATACATTGGGTTAGTTGTATGACAGGTCACATTTCCCCACCTGCCCACAGCTTCCCAGTTATACCTTACCAGCATGAGAACATCCACTTGCCATGAAAGATTGGTCAAACTAGTGAAATCCCTAAATCAGCTGCATTCAGCATTTCAGTACCCTCCACCTCTTTATATTCCTACATTTTTATGTTCTATGATAGCTGATGGATGAATACATTGAGCTTGCCCTTGAACATGATGGAAGCAAGAGAAGTCCCCTCCTGAAGAATACTGGGTACTATGGTAGCAGCTTCCAAAATCAGAACAACCACCCTGCATTTTGATTTTTATTGTGTTCTGCAGGCAGGATTGCTCCACACAGCCCAGTAATGTCCAGCCTAGCCATGCCCATATTTATGTTATCTTAATGCTTCCATCATGGATAGATCAACTATAACAACACTTTCACATACTTTCTCAGCTCCAACAATAACATCCAGAATTTTGCTGTTTGGAAACTTCACAAAGAAGTCAGGAAGTGACTTTATCGATAAACATATAAATAAACCTGTCATGAAACATTCCTTAATGTCTCTGTTTCCAGTTGTTCAGACACCATATGCTTGTCTTGAAGGAGAAAAGGCATAACTTTCTCATTGAACACTTGTCTATGGTTGGAGGAGAAATTGCAAGACAATTTCTAGCATACAGTAGGTCAACTTAACTGTAATAATTTTTTCCTTAGTGAAGACACAAATGAACACATGATAATTCAGTTCAGACAGTCAATATTGGCAGTTGCCTTCAACAACTAAATTGAAATACTGGCCAAATCTCACTAAAATCCACTAACCTGGCCTTGGTAATGGCTGTAAGGGTTGGGGAGAAAAAAAGGTCTGTGACAAACCCTGCCAAGATAATTTTTCTTTCCCCTTCTGACAACAACAACTCTGAAGGCAATCCCAGTGAAAGAATATTTCAGCATCTACACCAGATTAGAGAAAGAGGTGACAGAGGAAATTTGCATTCAAGCTCAAAAGTCTGGTTTCACAGCTGGCAAACTCACCAGGAGAAGTCTTCAGGGCTCCTTCTCAATCTCTAGAATAACCAGATGCATTTACTGCCAAGGTCCTGCAGTACTGCAGACTCCTGAAGGGGTACAGCAGGGTAATGGGAACTTACAAATAGCAGGTCCTGCCCCAATTATCTGCTTCATTGATATAAGCACTTCTCAAATATGAGGCTGGGTTTAGCAGCAGCGAAAGGATGAAAAGGAGAAAACATCTAGAGAGAAATAACTTTTCAAAGGGGAAAGTTCATTGATTCACTTCTAGGAGAGAGACTGAGAATCTGTAATGCCAAGTGCCCTTTAAAAGGGCTTCACGTGTTAGAGTGTTTTATGATGCTCCAGAAAACCCTTTGGATGTGATATACATGTGTTCATATATTACCATATACATTCATCTCTTAAATCACTCACACCCTTGAAACAAAGCATTGGCCTATGCACAAGCCAGTCAGAAAAACTACTTTAAAGCAAAAGAATGCAAAGAACTAAATTCTGGTTGTAGATTTTCAGGACTTTCAATCTCAATAGAAACCAAATTTGTTTTCGTTTCTAGAGAAAGATTTTCCCTGCAGTCCAGACCTACCAACCAGCTCAGCCATCAGGTCCAGGAGACACTCGTCTGCCAAAGCCCACGGGCGTTGACCGTTGAAATGGCCATGAACACCTCTGAAAAGGAAGAGGCAAATGATGAAAACATATGCTGTTCCCTTTGGATCAATCCTAAGAAACATACCTGATCTGAAGAGTCTACATTTGGAGGAGCAAAGAGGAGAAGACTCACCTAAGCTCTCACAGCACCTTTATCATGCTATTAAAGTTCTTAGCAAATACAATTAATTTATTTGTTTCTGATATGTTTTCAGTTGTTTGAAAACTAGTTATTTTGACTTCCAAAATTCCTCTAGAAATCCCTCAAAATTAAAGATGATGGCTTTTTCTGGAAACGTGGACGAGAAGCCTCCTGAGACAGGCACACTAGGAAAGGATTTGGTGGTCGCCCAGTGCAGGGGGACAACCCAAGAACCCCAGCTCAGACAAACTACAGAGAGGGTGGTAGGCCTGAATACTGTCTTGATCCCTAATTTTTATTGCTTCTCTTCCCCCCCAGATTGTTCTAGATCTAAGTGTCTATAAAGCTTTTTGCTGTGACACAAGGCACGTAAAACTTTATTTTGCAAACTGGTCCTGTCTACGGTGGATCATACAGTTACCTTAAACCTGAATACATCACTGCTCTGAAGTGAGATTTGTACACTCAGTCCTGGATTAAGTGCTCTGAACTAAATGTTTCCTTCAAAGAGAACTAAACTAAGGTATCCATCAGTAAAAAAGTTGCAAAGTTTCTTAAACGTGCAGGATGTAGCATACAGATATAAATGCAAATGAAGGCAGATTGAGAAAATTGAGATGTTGCTCTGGGCTTCCATCTCACACTGGATGATTTTCATATGTGCTGAGCACCACAGGGTACTCGCAGAGATGGAAATGCCAGGCTGCATGTGGCTGAGGCAAGCCACGTATAAAGCTGTTGCAAAACAGGGATGGAAACTGGGTAGAGAGAAAAAGAAAAAAAACCAAAAGCTGTGATAAGAGAAAGGAGAGGGGAAAAAAAAAAAAAAGTAATAACACTTTTAAAGACTAGGCACACAATATTCACACAAAATCATGAGAAGACATCTGGTAGATTAAGACATAAGAAAGGAGGGATATGAGACAGTACCAGCTAGCTCTCCACATGCATAAGGCTATTTACAAGATTGGTTTTCCCTATCCAGTTCCTACTTCTCTTTCTCAGATAGAAATTTGTTCTATCTCCCCCACAAATTACCTGACTATTTTACACTCAGACCCTTTGACTTGGCCCTAATTCACACCTCCTAAAGACGGGTCCAAAAGAACCACAGTCCTAAAGAAAAGAACTGCTGCAAAAAAAAAACAACTATGCTTTGTAAAAACCAATTCATCTTTGCAAAACACCGTTTGCTTGTGGACTAGTTTAGGTTAATGGCTGAAGGAAGGCACATGTACAAGAGAACATCTCTTACAGATAAAATAACCTTCCTGTGTTCAACAAGTCCAGCCCTACACTGATGACAAGAAGGACCCTGATCCCTAATTTGGGTAAGGTCACGGTACACTAGCTGACAGCTTCTCTTCATTTCAGAATTGCTCTCTGATGAGACCTTGATAGCAGAAAGCGGGCAGTGTGAAATAGGACTCATTTACAAGAACATTTTATAGATGAGGAATAAAGACAGTAGGTGGGTAGGGGAGGAAACCAAATAAGAGTCAGGATTAGTGCTAAAAGTTCCTCCCTTCTACCAGACCATAATGCAGTTCCCTGAAGATAATGGTATGTGTTTCACCAACAGCAAGACATTTATTGCTAATTTCCCTTCTTATTGTTAACTGTAATATAGTGATCAAGGGACTCTGGGATAATACAGGCTGTTAAAATAAAAAAAAATAAATAAATAAAATTAAAAAAAAAAAAAAATAAAGATTTTCAGTGGCTCCCAGCCCAAGGGGATCTGTATTTCTGAAAGAGGATAGTGAACACAATAAGATGGGAATAAGAAGCCCTAACTACCTATGGGATTCTCTTTCATTAGCTTTCTCTGATTTTATAGTCATTAGTGTCTTTCTAATGGGAATTTACTGATGAAAGCTCTCTCTCTTCCACTACACAGAACTAACAAAATTTCAGAATAAATTTCCAAGTTACCATGAAAACAGATATGAGATTTTGGGCACAAGAATATTTTATTTTGAGAAGAAAACATGGAAATTTAAGTATATTGAAAGAAGGGAGAGCCAGAATTAATTATTTATTATTCATATGATTATTATTATTACAGCACTGCTTACAGCTTCCCTCCCCTCTTGATGGCCAGTATAAATGCCAAGAGACAAAAATTATTACAGCTAAAATGGTAGTTAAAGGCATATTCTTGGACCCTTTTTTTATTTTAATCACATGAAACTCTGTAGCCTTTGCTGATGGCACAATACATCCTATAACACTTAGGTTGTAAAATTCTATGCTCTGCCTCCGAGAATTTATATCTCTGTATATTATGCCACCCCTCTCTCAGCTCTGGTAGGCACTGGGGGTAATAATCTTTAAGGACACAACTGCAGTGCTTCTGGCATTCCCCTCAGACAGGGATAGAGACTCCATCTCATCTTGTTCCCATCCTGCCCCAGGTACTGAGATTAAAACCGAGGTACCCAAAATAATGAATACAGAACACGGCCCATCAAATCATAAAGCATGATACAAACAGAACTATTGCTCTAAACTACTGTGAGAGTTTCTCATTGTGGAAATTAATTTTTAGTTGGTTACCATTTTATTTTCAATTTGGCAAGAAATCAAAATGCCACATTTTATTCGCTGAGGCCTCTTTGATTTAAAGCTCGCTAGGGGAGTTAGAAACACATTTTCTGATATGATCCCAGGGTTTCAAAGGCAGTGAGAAAAGGGATTTAAATTAATTGCCAGCTTCAAGAATCTTCTGCGCTCATCCAAATCTTGTTCAAATGGAAATTTCCTTCTTGCTCCTTTGCCAAAAATGATGCAAGGTATTTAATGAGCCAATACAGACTCTTAAGTTTGACCATGGTTTCAAGCAAAGAAACAGCCAAAAGAAAAGAAGACTTATCCAAGAAAAAGAACTGTATGGAGCAATAGACTGAAAGCAGATCTAAAAAAAAAAACCCAGGGCATTAAACCAGGCATTTACAGCTCTAATATACAACCTGCTGAAA